CAAATTAGTGACCCAGTCGTGGTACGATCATACAATTCCCATACGTTTCTGAGCTCAATCGTCACGATCTTCCTACTCGAGTTCATCCTGATGATTTTCCTGTGTCACTCGTTGTGCCCATGGGTAGGACAACGCAGTTACCGACACTCTCTGACGATTCATGATGGATGTTATCAACAAAATCCGACCATGCATGTCCAGGTCAAGCCCCAATCAAATTGTGTTGAGCACTCATCCGGTTGTGTTGCTATCTGCACAGCTTCCTCTTTTGTCCGAGACATTCCTCCGGCCATAACCAACGAAACCACTATTCGTGAGTCATTTTCGTACACTCGACGCTCTACTGTGCATGTGAAGATAAATTTTCAAACTCGACACTGCAGTCCGTCCCGGTTTTGTGTCTGGACGACAGCCAGCCGGTTCCTCTGACGCATTCATCTGACTCAGCCCTAAATAGGATGTATTACGTCCGAAATGTCCTTTCCTCCCATACCGACATGTCAACTCACCGGCACATGTTGACGAGACAACGCCAGCACACTCATGGCTAGTGGCACAACTGCATTTATGCACAAACCACAGCATCACCCTCGTATGCGGTCCGAAATGCCCTTATTATAATCGCCACACGCCCTTAAACCCGCATGTGCAAGAGATCAATTCGTTACTCTCATCGTTTGCCTCACGATCGACATCATCACTTCGTTATGTGTCTGGCCCGGAGCTGTTGCTGACAGCCATCATGATCATGCCTGGCGTCCTTGCTCAAGGCCCCGTTGGGCGAAGGTCATCCACCTTCGCGGTGAGTGGTTCCAGACTCGCTGGGCGACAGCCAATCGACCGACTTCAATTCTTATGCACGCGCGTCCACAGATTCGCAGCTGCCCATGCGCCACTTGAATGCACCACCCCTCGGCGAATGCAACATACGATAGTTCGACGATGTCCACCGTGTGCATCACAGCATGACGAAGCAGGGACGGTGACTTGCGCGTGAATTAGTTTGTAGTGATAGTAGACTTGCGTAGCATCTAGCGCACTCTCTCCCCCCCGACCTGGGCCCGGTGTCAAAACAGAGTCAAGGAGACCGGAGGGGGGGGAGTGAGCGCAGTGGATGGCACGGTCGAGCCCGCACCTTGGCGCTCCACTCTACACTCCCTGGTTCACACAGCAAATGCCCAGAATTTTAACCAGCATCAACAATGGGGAGGGCTGCTGAGGTCCCAACGTGCGCGACGTCTGCCGGCATTTGGGTCTACAACCGCACTCCGAGATGTTGACATTTGCTTTGATGCGCATTCCAGGATCTGCCAGGATCAGATATGGCCCCCGTGTTGGTCCAGCGCATCTACCACGTGGCGCGTTTGGGGGTATCTCTCGACAAATGTAAAATGAACCAATTGGACACCACTTGAGCCTATCACTCACAATCCTACAAAAGCAACTGCCACCGATATCTCGCGAACTCTCAGGCATGACTGGACGCAGTCAAGTCCAGCCCTGGTATCCACAGCGACCAATACCGTCTGAGAGGACAACTCAGAGTTATGTATGGTGACTTCTGTCTTTTCTTACAGCTCCTTATTTGTTCGAATGATTATAGTGTTCTGAGTACTTTTGCCACTTCGATGCTACGAAGTCTCTCCAGGATGCCCTTGCACAGTTACCGTTATCCGCTTTTCTTACAGACACCTGTTACTAGGTCACCATAGGCTATTCGGTCGGGCAAACACTCTTCAACCAACCCCACAACGTGAGCGACTCCATGTTGTTGAAGTTACCTCAACATGACTTAGAAGCCTATTAGACTAGTCGCCTTCAGGACATGAGAGGCCGGAAGCTACCTTTACCGTTTTGCCTTTAATATCCCTCAAAGACAAAATGGATAGGAGTTGCGCGGGTTTCTCGTACATCTTGGAAACATACGCCTCGAAAGAGCGTTGCAAGGATGTTACTCTGACACATTCTGAGTTTCGTGTTGAGTAGGATAGCAAGTCGACTACAGAATAAATGTTGTAGTCTGCCGAAGACCTGACTGGCTTAAGAGATCCGGGTCGCAAACTCGTTAACTTTAGTGGCCCACGATATGGCGCTACCAAGGGAAGGGAATTAGTCATTGCTGCCGCCTACAGAAGCCGTAATTAGGCGTATGCTACCGCTTGCGCAGAGTGACGCACAATAGCCGTCTTCTGTTTGCTGATCATTAGTCCAAAGTTGGAGCTCCGCCGCATTGGAAAGATCCGGAATTTGCCGCACGTCCGTTTCAAGTATGGTGTTCAGTACACAGTCGTCGGTAAAATTAAGGTTATCAATTGTGATTTTGAATATTTTCACGACAGCCTGCGTGTAACGGATGTTGAATAGCTTCCCCTCGGATTTGTAGCTTATGCAGATGTTTGGTTGACCTTCACGGAAGGGTTCCGTGAGCATTTCAGAGAACACGAGGCTAAAAAAGATTGGAGTGAGGACGCAGCGGTGTGTCATTCGTGTTGTCACCGTTAAAACCCATGCTGATCCAGTGTTTCTGACATGTTCCAATATGCCATCCTAGAACTACCTGACCATCAGCGTAAGTCCTTAGGGACATTCGAACTTCCTCGTTGTTTTTCGGAGACCTCCTCGGTTGAAAAAATATCGAAGGCCATCGAGGGTGGTGTAAAGGCAAACTTTTACTTCCTACCATTTTTTCTGCAGCTGTCGGTCTACGGGATCTTATTAAGGGTTCCACGGTTTTTGCGGAATCCACACTGGCCTTCTAGAAACAGTTACTGCTCAAGGTGTAAAGCCAGACAATTGAGTGGTATTCAGGCGAAGATTTTGACTGCAATAATGGAAAGAGGGGTTAACGATGACTGGAAAAGATATGTTGGTTTGATGTGCGTTTGTACAGATGAACATTGCTTGCGTTCCTCAAATCACACGGACTCCTTCCTATCGTTACATTCTCATCAATAGTGAGATATGTTGGTCCACTGGTTGAAGACCACCGTATTCATAAAGTTCAGCTGTAAGTAATCTCCTGCCAGGAAATTTTCTACAGAACATCCGCCTTACTACACCGATTGTTGTCTACATGGAGGGCGGGCTATTAAAGACCGCAGACTGCAGATGGACGGTTGAGAATGTGCCTAAAATGCTTGGTTTACCATTCCAGCGTCTGCGATTTCGCCGTTATTAACTTTGCTCCATTTGAGCTAAACGGCAAGGTAGTCCCGGTAAATCAAAGGCCATAGGTTGTTTTGACGGCCGTTGAGAAAGTAAGAATTTCCTCTTGACCTCAGTAGCCTTGAATCTCAACCAGCGTGCTAAGGGGAGACTCCCTAGAGGCTTTAAGATTAACGGACGGCCTGCGATCACAGCACGCGCCCAAACGCCTCCTCTTGCACAACTAGGTTTGCAGTCGAAAGATGCTAGGAGTCCGATAAGATCGGAGGACTGCATCATGTGGAAGGACACCAGCGTTTACTTGAGAACAAGTTGGGCCAAGTTAAATGCTGAAGAGGCGTCACTACGTTTGCTCCAGTTCGGGGTAGACAATGGTAAGTTTTCGGTACATCTGGGAAGAAAACGCTCTGCTGGTGGGTCTCTCATGAAGTAGGGCTGACTGACAGTAGGCAAATGAAGCAAAAAGCCGTGAGAAAGTCTGCGAAAAGGATGGCACGGCGGTACCAGCAACAGATGAAACTTACAGGAATAGACGCTAGAGTCTAGTACACAGAGAGGGCAGAGAAATTAGAAACGAAGTTAGCAGTGGGGGATATGTTGGTGGCCTGCAGTAATAGGCAATAGTTAGGGCAATGATGGTTCGCCGGTGTGGGAGGCATGGCACTAATCGGGGTTCGATCGTCGATGAGGACACCTATGTTTGTCTTGCCGTCTCAGACTTGGGAGGGCTCACTAGAGAGCTTTAGCACCTTGATGCTTTTGTCATCAGTATTCCGTGTCGTGCTCTGTCTGAAGTTAAAAGCGGTATTGAGCGGTACAAAAAACTGGTGCAATATCTACAAGTGAGGAGCGTGCCAAGACGACATGAAGGACGTTTGACCTGACTACAAGATTACTTGGGTGACCTAGGTGAGAGATGGGTTTCTTGCTGCTCCAAGCCAGCTCATATGTTTGCCACCGCGTCCGCGTAAGGGGAGAAAAAGGTAAACTGGGGCGATTAAACGCTGGCCGGATGCGTCTTTGACAGGCCATGTATTACCACCAACCATGTGAACACATGTAGACTTGAGAGGCCGGCATGGCATTTTAACATAAAACTAAGATGTGTTGCACTTGCGGTGTAACAATGTTCATTACCATGTTGATGTTTTATTTTAAGACTGACACTACGAGAATTCATTAGACTGTCGGACAGGATACATGACAGCCGGGGTGCTCTCAAAGCAAAAGCCCGGAAAACACTTTATCGACCGAGACTGCGCAGCGTCCTGGGAGCGAGAACAAGTCGACGGATAGAGGCAAAGCGCCTCCGTTACTAAATAGAGTAAGATTCGCTCGGAGCCATTCGGCAAAGATTAGCAGTCTGATGGCCAAAGATCCTGTAACGATGTTCATACAAGAGGAGTCGCCAGTGGAGATAACCATAGGAACACTTTGTTGCCTTCAGTCGGCGTTTTCTTACGGCGGCAGACGAAGTTGGGCAGGTTGGCCGTGGCTCTAAAGGAGAGGACTCCAATTCGCATACCGCCCAGACGATAAGTGCGAGCGTAAAACCGCCCCACTCAGTGTATTGTTTATGGTCTCATCGATTTTCCCCGAGTACTACAACGCAGAGGGATTGCTGTAGAAGTTTTTGATTATATTTTTTGTACTTTTCAAATAGGATGAGCGAATTATGCGGCTAGTTTATTCTACTGACTGTTGGCTTCTGCAGACACCGCAGGTGTCCCCATAGCGTAATGAGCAGGGTAGGGGACGCGGGTGTGGCCTTTGCCATCCGGAAAGACATCGTGGGATTACTGCCCTGTCGATCACAGTAGATCAATGATCGCTTGATGAGACTCCGCCTGCCTCTCCAGGGAGGCAGATTCGCCACCATCGTCAGCGCCTACGTTCCCCCTATGACCAGCCCCGACGCCGCAAGATACAAATTCTATGAGGACCTGCACACCCTCCCGGTGACTGTGACGAAGGCGGATTATTTGATTGTCCTTTGTGACTTCAACGTCCGAGTCGGCACAGACCATGATGCCTGGAGAGGAGCGCTGGATCCCCACGGTTTCGATGGATCCAATGACAATGGCATACTCCTTCTACAAACCTGCACACAACACCACCTCATCCTGACCAACACCTTCCACCTTCCAACGCGAGAGGAGACCACCTAGATGCACCCTCAGTCGCGAGACTGGCATCCTCGTCCGGAAGCGAGAGCAGCAGGACGTGCTGGTGACAAAGGCGATCCCAGGTGCGGACGGGTGGAGCGAACATCGCCTCATCATCTCCAAGATGAGGATCTGCCTACAGCCTCACAGGAGACCTCAAGGTAAGCGATCCCCAGGTAAGTTGAATATTGTCCTGCTGTCTTCGCCTGCTCACCATCTCCATTTCAGCAGTGAAGTAGCCCAAAGGCTAGCCAACCTTCCAGTCGCCGCCGTCGCCAACGACGAGGACACCTCCGTAGAGAACCGATGTTGTTAACTGAGGGACATGGTCTAGGCAACCGCCCTGGCCGTCCTCGGTCGCGCACGACCTCAGCCTCAGGACTGGGTCGACGACAATGACGCCGCCATCAGCAACTTGCTCATCAAGAAAAACCGACTGCACAAAGCCTACGTGGATCGCCCTACTGATAGCAACAAAGCAGCCTTCTACCGTAGTCGCCGCCTTGTGCACCAGCAGCTGCGGGACATGCAGGATACCTGGATGGCTCGCAAGACCGAGGAGATCCAAGATACGCGGACAGCAACGAATGGAAGAACTTCTTCGCCGCGATCAAGGCTGTCTACGGCCCGGCAGACAAAGGCACCGCTCCTCTCCTCAGCGCCGATGTAACCAACCTACTCGCTGAGAGGACGTAAATTCCGCAGTGATGGACCGTCTGGGATGTCTGAGCAACTCCTTTTAGGGACAACACTGCTCACCCCTGCGAGCGGGACGGGGCTATAAAAGGTGCCATTAATAAATGCTGGAATCTCGTCCTCTGCGCACTGATCGTGGCTAGCAGGCGCTAAACACACGGTCGAAACAAACAAATAAGAAACAAGATTCTCTCTCTTTCTTCCCCATCCTCCAACCCGTTGCACCAACTCACAGGCAGTTATGGTGAGTCCGCTCACTCTGGCAGCCTGACATGTTCGTTCCCTTTTGGACAAATCCCTAGAGCAGCCGACCGGAAAGGAGGACGGCTCTAAAGGCTCGGGAGTTGGCACGCTACATGGTGGACATCGCCGCACCCAACGAGACCCGCTTCGCCGAATGAGGCCACTTTGAAGAGGATGTATACGATCCCACAGCCAAAGGCACCGCTTCTCTTTTCAGCACCGATGGACCCACCCTACTCACTTAGAAGATGCAAATGTCGCAACGATGGGCCGAAGACTTCCGAGGCGTCCTCAGCCGTCCCTCCACCATCTCCGACGCCGCTATTGCCCATCTGCCTTAAGTGGAGACCAACACCGACCTCAACCTCCCGCCCTCTCTACACGAAACCATCAAGGCCGTGCAACAGCTCTCCAGCGGAAATGCGCCCGGATCGGACGCGAACCCTGCTGAGATCGACAAACACGGCGACCCCCAACTTATGGAAGCCCTGATAGTGCTCTCCCAGGAGGTGTGACGTCAAGAGAAGTCACTCAGAATTTCAAGGACGCCACAATCGTCCACCTCTACAAGCAGAGAGGGAACCGCCAATCTGCGACAATCACCCAGGCGTCTCCCTGCACAAAATCGTCGGGAAGATTTTTGCTCGCATCCTCTTAAATCGTCTGAACAGCCATCTGGAACGGGGTCTCCTGCCGGAAGGCCCGGGTTCCTTCCGCCACCACCGCGGAAATACCGATATGATCTTCGCCGTCAGCCAACTGCGGGAGAAGTGCCAGGAGATGCGGATCCACGTCTAATCTACCTTCGTGAATCCGACGAAGGCTCTCGACACGGTGAGTCGCGAAGGACTGTGAAAAATCATTCAGAAATTCAGCTGTCCCGAGCGATTCATTTAGATGGTGCGTCAGCTCCACGATGGCATGACGCCGCGCGTCACGGACAATGGAGTCACCTCAGAGGCATTCGAAATGACCAACGGTGTGAAACAGCGCTACGTCCTCACACCCCCCCTCTTCAGTCTCGTTTTCTCTGCCACGCTGACGGGCGCCTGCTGTGACGAATGCCCTGGGATCCGCATCGTCTACAAGAGGGACAGCCAACTCCTCAACTGCCTGTGGGTGCACGTCCAGTCACGTTTATCCACAACTAACGTCCATGAACTTCTCTTTGCCGCCGCCTGCGACAACTTTGGCATGGTAATTAGCACGGAGGAGATGGTGGTCATGCATCAACTGCCACTCGACGCTGTCTACGCCGCACCCCAAATCAATGTGAACGGCGCCCAACTGAAAGCCATGGACAGTTTCACCTACCTAAGCAGCATGCTCACTCGCAACACCAAAATCGAAGATGAAGTGACCCGCCCACGTCTCGGTCACCAGTCGGCCTTATTGTACATCTGCGTGCCAACTGCAACACCAGGACGACACCACCCGATATCCCCCGTCCACTTCTGCCTCGTTCCCCACGCCGACAATCAACACTGACTGCACTACTCAACACCCACTGCCATTCTCTCCACTGCCGCACCATCCATCGCGACGGTTACTGCACCCGCCGCCACTGCACTCAATCCTAACACACCGACAAACGTCAACCTCAGCACCGCCAACACCAGCGACCTGGGCTTGGTCCATACCTGTCCTCATTGCTATCGCACCCTCATCTCACACATCGGCCTGGTCCGTCACTTGCGAGTCCATCGCGCAGAGACTGGCGACCAGTGTCTGGAGCACCAACAATGGATCCTTCTTAATGGGGTCATTATTGGCACTCCCACTCCGTGGGATCCGGGCCATGTGAGACAGAGCGCCTAGGTGCGGCTTCGGCCGCGCCAGTTCCTTTTGTTGTTGTTGTTGTTGTTGTTGGTTAAAATCCTGGTCATTTGCTGTGTGGACCACGAATATGTTGTGGAGCGCCAAGGTGCGGATTCGACCGTGCCATCCACCTGCGCCCACCCTCGACTCCGGTCTTCTTAATCATGTCTTGACACCGGGTCCAGGTGGGTGAGAAGAGAGCGCGATAGATGTTGCGCAAGTCCACATTCACTTTAAACTAAATCGTGAGCAAGTCGCCGTTTCTGCTCTCACCCTGCTGTGGAGAACACGGTGGACATCGTCAGATGCGATGGTCGAGCTATCGGGAATCGTGCCTGCGTTTGGTAATTCAGTTTAGGGCTGTCAGGGCGGAGGCCAAACAGTAAGAGATTTCAGGCAGATATTAGCAGTTTACGAACATCATTGGGACTGGAGGCTTCTTCCGCGAATTTGTTGATGTTCGCCAGTTTTAAACTGACCCGTGTTTTGGACTGACAGAACTGTAGATCTACCGACTCTTCTTCACCTTCCGAGGTCTTTGAAGCTGTAAAATTAACTATGATCACAACATGGTGCTTTCCGATAGGAATTTGTAGACAACACGCTCACTTTTCAATTCCTACCTTATGCGTACTCAACCCGGGTTGCTCATGCTGCGAAACATTACTGGCGCGCAGCATAATCGTGGGGCATAAGTTGGCCAGACCGCGAGTTCCATGAATGAATTCCAAGAAATCTGCACAGAGTTCGAACCAATTTATTGTGTGTCCGATATTCGACGCAGTTCGGTCTACGCTCAGTTTCGACCTCCGAAGAGCACAGAAAATTGGTTTATTTTGTATGTGACATTTGGGATTGGGTACGATACTCGTTGCGTGTATTTACGTTGACTGTACGAAAGCCGCACTGATAAAATTATCCATAAGGCGCCAAAGGAATTTTTGCTTGCACAAATGCAATTAGCTTGCGCCGATTTGTCTAACCGCCTGCTAGCTGGCGGACAGCCAAAGGCTTAACCCGAGTGCTGAACGTTGGGACTTAAGCACAGCCCCTCTGCACAGAATAGACGTGCCCATCTAGTTGCCCTTCCGCTTCTTCTATAGGAAAGTTAGGTCAAGAGATTCGCTCTGCTTTAGTTCGTACAAAAAGCCAAGTCTATCGGTCTTATAAAAAATATAAACTATTTCTAGCTGTTTTGAAGGCTCTATTCACACGACGGCAAACCAGCTCAGTGCCAAAAAAACAATTTCCCCGAGTTTCGGACAAATCAGTTTGAGAAATCAGTTCCGACTGTACAAGATTTGTGCAAAGCTCACTTTTGCATCGTGTGTGATGCTAAGACTACCCACTTCCAGGCACCCACCGCTGTTATCGCCATCCCATATCGCTAGTGCCTGTTGCTGTCTTTCACAATAATCCGAGTGGAATTTTTGGGTTAACAAGCCTTACGGAACACCTAGAAGTCGATCATTATTGAAGAATCTCTGCGTGTGGACGACCGTCCGCGGCGAACAGGATTTGAGGTCGTTCTCCTATGGGTTTCTCCGCCTTTCCCCCTTATTTTTGCCATGGGTCCTTAGAAGCGGCCTCTAAGTGAGCATAAATGTATGCTTGGGGATGGCGATGAGCAGTTTCGTTCCAAAAACTAAATACCTGTCCACCTGACTTCTGAGTCAAAGCATAGACATTCGATGCGACGGCTCGTGTACCTCTTCCATTAAAACCATTGTCCCAGGAGGTAAATATTTGTCCGTGAACCAGACTTGAGTAGTATCTGACACATTATTTTTTTCCTCGGGTTATACTGCATCGAATAGGGGG